ACACACTTTCGCCATTGTTTCTGCCATTTCATGAAGCAGTCGTGGAAGCCCCTTTTCCTGGGTGTCTTTACGAAGTGTAAATGCGTTAATTAGCAGAAATGTGGTGAATGCTGCTGCTGCGTGCCATCCAGTGGAAAGGCAGGCTTGTAAAAACTTTACAGTGCGTCCTCATCCACATATTCACCAGATCTGGCACCATATGACTTCTGCTCTTCCCCAAAGTCAAAGCAGCCACGAAAGGTCAGTGTTTTAAATCAGTTCAGGACGATGAGGCAGCCATGACAGCACAACTAAAGACACTCAGGAAAGAGGACCTCTAGACTTGCTTCCGAAAGTGGCAAGAACGATGGGACAAGTGTGTTTGAAGTGAGGGGAAGGATTCTGAGGGGGGTTCATAGAAATGTGCTTTTAATAGTTTTTTAAAAAACTTTCAATATTCAGTGTGCATTTTGATCATGCTGCATTTCTCCAGGGTCAAGTTCCAGAGTAAGATTGCTAGATCAAAGGATAAATAAATAAATGTGTAGTTTTTAAAGCTATTGATAAGTTTCACCCCATAATGTATACCTATTTTGAAGACATGTGATTAATGAGCATGCAGTTCCACAACATGGTAAAACTTCAAAATTTCTGTCAGCAGGGACAGGTGAGTAGATTCTCAGCAGAGTTTGTGTGGGAAGTTGTGGGGAGAGAGTGGGTGTGCTGTACCTGCCCGGTGCCTCCTGACCTAACCACAACTAGTACTCAACAATGTTATTCAATTATTCAGTTGTGGCAAAAGAGACCACCAAATCTTAAATTTTCATGTTTCTTAGAAATGTGTGTTTAATTAATTGATTGACTGGCTGATTTTTTTTTTTTTTTCATGAGCGCTCACTATGTTGCCCAGGCTGGATTCAAACTCCTAGGCTCAAATGAACCTCCCACCATAGCCTCCCAAGTAACTGGAACTACGGAAACGTACCATGGGGCCGGATTTTAATTTTATTTTTAATTAGCAGTCAAATGGACCTTACTTTTGGCATGAAGTTCTATTAATTGTCACACATACAGTTTATAATCACCCCTGCAGTACAGAATAGTTGCATCACCTAACAAGTGCCTCACAGTCAACCCCACAGAGGATGAGGTAGGAGGATCACAAGTGAGATCCTATCTTAGGAAGTGGGGGGCTGGAGATGTGGCTCAGTGCCAAGGCCCTGGGTTCAATCCCCAGTACCACACACAACCACCACTAAGCAGCCCTGCCTCGTGCCATCCCTTTGTAGTATCGCCTCAGCTTAAGACTCTCCATCATGGGTCTCTTCTCTACCCCTGTGGTACTGTCTTTTAGAGTAGGTCATATATGTAGAACTGTACAGTATTAGTCTTTGGAGCTTGGCTTTTGCACTCAGCATAATTTCCTGGAGATTTCATCCTGGTAGTTTTATCCACATCAGTGGTTTGTTGCTTTTTATTGCTGAGAAGTGTTCCATTGCACAAATGTACCACACTTTATTTACTCACTCACCCTCTGAATGGCATTGGAGTCATTTCCAGTTTGAGGTAATTATTTCTTTCTTTCTTTAAAATTTTTTTATTTATTTATTTTTTGGTACCCAGGATCGAACTCAGGACCTTGCACTTGCGAAGCAGGTGATGGAACCACTGAGATAAATCCCTGGCCCCTAGAGTAATTATTAATAGAACTTCTATTAATAGAAACATACATATACAATTTTTATGGAAACACAAGTTTTAAGTTCCTCTGTATAGTTTAAGCTTTACATTTCATGACAAGTTGTATGTAGAGTTATTTTCAAATGTTTGAGACATTTATATTTCCTTTTCTATAAATTCATTTCCTCTATTGTTTGGGGGAGGGAATTTGCATGTGACTTTTATTTTAGAAAAGTGACCTTGGAGAGCAGATAGGTAGTATTCAAATAAAAATTATGCAGAACTAGACTTCGGAGAGATACTCAAATACATATGTGAAAGAGTCACACTGATGGGGAATGGAGAGATGAAGACATGGACATGCAGAAACTCTTCCAGAGAGAAAACACACAGGGCTGGACAACAGAATCTATGGGCATGCCCATGTTTAAGATGTAAAAAGCACAAGAGGTAAAGGAAGAAAGCAAAAGTGAGACTTTTTCAAGGTCTTGGAAGAAACAGGATGGAACACAATAAGATATATAAAAGCTAAATGTCAAAGGTTTGCTAAGTAAAGGATTTAATTCTACAGGGCGCAGTGTTTAGAGGAAGAGAAAATTTCTGTCCAATAATTCTAAATAAAAGCCATACAATTCATTCTGATTGGACTAGCCAGGTCACATGACCACCCTGTACTATTCACTGTGACTGGAGGATAAAGAGCATAGATTGGCCTAGCCAAGTCATGTGCTCCAATGCCATAGTTTCCCAGAACATCATGAACCTCATGGATACGCACAGGAAATGAGTGGAAGACATAGATGCTGAACAAATAACCAAGAAGTATATAGAAAATGGCCACGGAGAGTGATGTAGCCTCTAATTCTAGGAGCTTAGACAAAAGCTCTGTGTCAAGTTGAGAAACTGGAGGTAATGTGTGGAAAATTCAAAGAATTAGGCTTAGTGACCAGGCAACTTTAAAGAAAAAAATTTTGCCTTTTTCCAAAAACTGAGGCAACATCAATGCATATTCATATCATAAAAGAAGAAACCACAGGAAGGGAGACTACGGAGACTGTGAAGGCCAAGTGGTTAAATCATGAGAAGGGTGAAGGAGGAAGCAAAAGGTGGCGAAGCCCCAACTGTCTCACAGAGGATGTGAGAGGCATAGGACTTCCTCTAAGAGGCAGTCTCCCTTATCAATTCTCACTCCTCTTCCAACCATTCTCCTCCCTGCAGTCAGAAGGATCTCTTACAAGTGAAACTAGCCATGTTGTTATCCATTGAGAGCTTCCCCTTGTTCCCAGGATGCACTGCTTATGAAGTGGATCAGACGTCTGGCCTCTGTGTAAAGTGCCTCCTGCCTATGTTCATTAGTTCTCCAATCTTAATGGACCAATGAGACCCACACCATGGCCTCTTTCCCTTTTACATAACAGTAGCCATCTGTCACTCCATAGGTGAGCACTATATTTACTTAATTCATATTGGATCCTGTAGCTCTGTGTCTGGCACACAGCAGGCAGTCATATATGATTATAGGAAGAATGGGTGGATGCGCACTAATGTGTGAGATTTGCTGCAATCTTGATGATTACTTCTAAGATCTAATTCCCATCATTGTTTATCCAAGTCAAATATCATTATATTAGATGTAGGCCCAAGAAATGATGAAGTTACTAGGAAAAAAGACCAAATCTTAGAATAGAAATATAGATATAGATTAGTGTGCATATATATATATATATTAATCAGTATACATATTAATATTAGTATATATATTAATTAGTATATACAGAGAGAGAGAGAGAATTGAGGAAAATATGCCAAAATGTAGCCAGCATGTTTTACTCTAGGTACTGGATCTATGTTTCTTCTTAAATTTCTCAGAGTTTTCCAGATTTTCTACAAAGCATGTCTATTAGTTTTTGGTGTTTTCTAGATTTTCCAAAGCATTGGGGAACATGTTTGAAGTGTTTCAGCTGTAAACTTTCAAAATAATCTGCATGGAGCTCTGTAACACCACTGCAGCAAGTCCTTAATTCGCCGACTTAATCGCATTTGTCTATTAACAACATGCGGCCTTTACCTTATATAAATTTTATGACAAGAAAGCTAAAGGAAGAAGGTGCATGACACTGAGGCGTTAAAAATATTTTCAGCAGTAAAGCAAGGGAGAAAAAGGACGAAAGAGAAACACATTCCAAGATGTTCTGAAGAGTGGGATTAATTAAATAAGGCATGGTACATCTGCTTAATGACAGTATGCACACTGGCTGGGCTGGGGGTGTGGCTCGTTGGTAAAGCACTTGCCTGGCACACACAAAGCCCTGGGTTCAATCCCAGCTGAGCAAGAGAGGAAAAAAGAAAGAAAGAAAGAAAGAAAGAAAGAAAGAAAGCAAGCAAGCAAGCA